GGAGGGAGGGAGGTATTGAGGGAGGGAGAGAGGGCTGGGTGTGAAGTATTATGTTCTTAAAACTATACATATGAAATACATAAAATGTGTTCCCTTTATATAAAGGAAATTTTTAAAGATAGAAAAAAATAAAACAATTTAATTCAATAAACTTGAGAAAAAATACCAAAGAACTAGTTTATTTATAATTCTATAAAAGTCAAGATTAATTTAACTACAGTCACACTTGAAAGTACAACTGTTACTATTTCAAGTACAGGCAGTTGATACTACTTTTCTGATCCAGCTCCCTACTAATGGCCTGGGAAAAGAAGTGGAGGATGGCTCAAGTCCTTGGGCTCCTGGTATATATGTGGGAGACTTGGGTGATATGCCTGGCTCCTGGCTTTGGCCTGACCCAGTGCTGGCTGTTATGGCCATCTAGGGTGTGAACTAGTGGATGGACTATTCTCTCTTCTCATTTTCAATCTCTCTCTCTCCCTCCCTCCTTCCCTCTCCTTCAAAATAAATATATAAATATTAAAAATTTTACCATATAGCATTTATTTGACATAATTGGCCAAACCATCTTGCTTTACTGAATAATACACACATAATCTTTCTGGGTTCTTAACTTCTTCAGTCTGTATCTAGAAATCATTAGGTATGGGGCTGGTGCTGTGGCATAGCAGGTAAAGATGCCACCGGCAATGCTGGCATCTCATATGGGAGCCTGTTTGAGACTTCTGATCCAGTCCTCTACTTGTGCGCTTGGGAAAGCAGCAGAAAATGGCCCAAGTGCTTGGGCCCCTGCTACCCACATGGGAGATCTGGATGAAGTTCCAAGCTCCTGGCTTTGGCGTGGCCCAGTCCCAGCCATTGTGGCCATTTGTAGAGTGAACCAGCATATGGAAGGTCAGTCTCTTTATCTGTCTGTCTGTCTGTCTCTCTCTGTGTAACTCTGACTTTCTGATAAATAAATTAATCTTTAAAAAAAAAGAAAGCATTAGGTAGTTTCCTAATCACTTTATCAACAACTCTGCTGGAACCAGGCAGAAATGCTTCAGACTAAAATTCTTAAAGAATGTGAATCCATCTTTTATTAACATGCCAGTGACAATATGCCCTTCTTTCCCCATGTTATGATCTTTGGCATGAATCCCTCATCTTATGATATTGATATCTCTATTTTGAAGAAAAAAAGCACATATTTATATGTATATAATTTCTACATTTGAAGTGAATGCGGTAAAATGTTAGCATTGTCTTCATATCAATATCATATTAACATGGGAATTAAGAATTATATTGTAGTAATTATCATGTATTTGCTATGACACTGAGATCTATTAATAATTTTATTAACCACCAGAAAGCTTTAAAAATTAACAAACTTAAAAGTTAAAAACTAACACAAAGTCATAGCATCATGGGTTACCTCAATCTATCCTTAAATTTGTTCTGTAGGTTTTTCACAAAGTGTTCCCATAACCACTCTTCAAAAAAGTCCAACAATAAGATACTCACCAGTGTAGAACATTCAATTTTCAAAGATTTCTACTTGATAGAGAGTGGTTCTTTTGATGTGCTTTAGGAAATTATGTTCTCATTGGACTCATATCTATGTAATTCTAAGTAGAGTACCTTGAAATTAATGTTTTATTAAGATAATTATCCCATCATATCAGCTCCTACTCAAAACACTGAACCCATGAAAATAAATGAACTATTTAAAGGATCTTACAACATAGATGACTTTGAAAAGAAATTTTAAATTAGTTTTAAGTCCAAAATAAATCAGCAAGCTCTGAAGTTAGAAACAGTTAAATCATAGAACAATTCACATAATGGGTAAGTCCAATTATTTTAAATTATGAATACTAACTGAGGGACTTATATCTCTTAGTAGCACAGTACAAGATAACAATGCTTGCCTTGATAAATAAAGAATTAAATATGTTCAGATAGAAAAACATTACTATGCTGCTCTTGAGCAGCAGTGTTTCTTTACTATGCAAGGCTCTTCCTGATCCTTGGCACAATAAATTACCATCAGAACATACATACAGATACCACAATTAGCAGAACACTTCATACCACTGGTAGGCAACACAATGTTTCATATTTGTAGTATCTGTTGTTCTCATAACTATATAATCAAGTCTGGTAGTCAGGATTCATTCTAATACAGCTATTCTCATAAACTCAAGATCCCTGGTTTAGGACTGCACAGTGCATTAAAGCAGCTATGTCGCTCCCCCTCTTCGTGGAGGAACGACACAGGACCCTGCGCTGTTCTTCCGTCTGCTCGGCCCTCCCCGGGTTTGCTACCGTCCCTCCCACCTCCGTGGAAGGGCGGTTCCCCCTGGCCACTTTCCCCACTTCCGCGGGGGAGCGGCACACTGCCGGCCGGCTCTCTCGGGGGCTGCTCAGATGTTCCTCAGGTGTTCCTGGTGCATGTTGTCTCTCTCCTCCTTTATAGTCCTCTTCCACCAATCCCAACTCTGCTACCCACACGCCGAGTACGCTGCTCTCCTCCAATCAGGAGCAGTTCCTGCTGTTTATTGGTTGAACTGGAGGCAGCTGTGTAGAAGCTGTTTCCTCCTCTCCCAGTGCCATATTGTGGGAGAGCAGATGCATAGAATAAGTCTTAATTCCAGTAACTTAGTCTAGTCCGAGTTGCTCCCAGTTGCTCCCCACAAGCTACGACTGAGCATCATGTTCCCAATTACTTTTCTTAAACTGTATACTTGTTGATAACCTCCTAAATATTGTCTATTTATCTATCTACCTCTAAATACAAAATTCTAAAGTGATCTCCAACCTCACACTCTTGAGCCTAATACTTACATCATATTGCTTTGTAGAGTTACTCCCCTCAAATTCCTTTTTGCAAAATCATGTTTTGCTTACCAAACTTTCTTCCCTACCAGCTACATTTATCATTAAAAAAAAAGTAAAGCATTTTTTAAAAATCCTTCCAAGTAATTCCCTTTGCTTGTATCACTACCTTCAGTAAGATATTTCAATAGTTCTTTGGGGAAATAAAACTCTTACACTTTGATGAAAGTACAAAACCAACTGCCTGGCCTGACCTTAATTAAAGGTCTTTTGTTGACCCCTTCCCAGCATGTGACACAAGTAATTCACATACTTGCCACCTTTATAAACTCTTAAATATTCACCCTTGTTAAAAAAACAAAACTTCCCAATAGAAATATAAGTTTTAGTCTTACACATTTAATCTAGGACTTCAGCAAATCAATTCTTTAATGGAAATGCCAGCCAACTTGTTTCTAATGCCTGCGTGCCACTGCACAATCTTTACACACTTCCAGCAATGTATTGGAGATAGTGGTTTCCAATGGCCATTATGAATAGCACACCTGTTTTATTGTTACTAGAGTCCAAGAGGTAATTCAAATGAGCACTTTTATTTTTTCTGCAAATAACGTTATTACAAATATGTCCTCCAGTCAACCACAGTTAAATTAACCAACGGTTAGCTAATAAAACCAGAAATAAATGTTCAAAAGAGGATCATAGCATATGAGGCATTTCAAAATGTTCATGAAAATGTAAGTTTACATTTTAATTTAAAATGTAAGTTTCAAAAAAAATTTCAATATCAATGCATAGTCATTACATGAAATGACTAATAGTATCTTTCATGAGTGCCTTTCTATATAATCAGGTGGTGAAAGTCATGAATTAAGAATTAGATTTTTTTTTTTTTGACAGGCAGAGTGAACAGTGAGAGAGAGAGAGACAGAGAGAAAGGTCTTCCTTTGCCGTTGGTTCACCCTCCAATGGCCGCCGTGGCCAGCGCGCTGCGGCCGGCGCACCACGCTGATCCGATGGCAGGAGCCAGGTACTTCTCCTGGTCTCCCATGGAGTGCAGGGCCCAAGCACTTGGGCCATCCTCCACTGCACTCCCTGGCCACAGCAGAGAGCTGGCCTGGAAGAGGGGCAACCGGGACAGAATCTGCACCCCGACCAGGACTAGAACCCGGTGTGCCGGCACCGCAAGGTGGAGGATTAGCCTAGTGAGCCGCGGCGCCGGCATGAATTAAGAATTAGATTTTTAAATTATTTTAAAGATTTATTTGAATGTGAGAGAGAGAGAATGAATGAATGAATGAATGAAGATCTTCCATCTGGTGGTTCATTCTCCAAATGGCCACAATGGCTGGGTCTGGGCAACGCTGAAGCCATGAGCCAGGAGCTTCCTCTGGGTCTCTGACACAGGTTCAGGGATACAAACACTTGGATCATCTGCTGCTACTTTTCCCAGACCATTAGCAGGGAGCTAGATCAGAAGTGGAGCAGCCAGGACATGAACTGGTGCCCATATGGAATCCCAGCGATGCAAGCAGCAGCTTTCCCCACTGCGCCACAAGGCTGGCCCCAAGGATGAGATATTTTTTAAGATGCATGTATCTATTTGAAAGAGAGAGACAGACAGACAGAAAGGGACAGATCTTTCATCAATAAGTTTACCCCACAAATGACCAACAGCCAGGTTTAGGTCAGGCTGAAATCAGGAGCCAGGAACTCCATCCTGGTCTCCCACATGGGTGGTAAGGGCCCAAGCACTTAGGTCATCTTCCACTGCCTTTATTACCAGGAAGCTGGATGAGAAGCACAGAAGCTGGGACTCAATCAGTACTCCAATACAGAATAAGGGTATCACAAGTGGCAGTTTAACCTGCTGCCCCATAACACTGGCCCCATGAATTAAGAAATACAAATGCAAACATACATATACAGATGAGTACCCTCTCGTTTCCCAGCATTTATACTGAGATTTCTCTTTCAGCTTTCCTATAAGAGGTCCTGAGAGGTAGAAGACAATGTCATATTGTCATTATCATTGCTAGTTATTACACAAATGAAACACAGCCCAATTAACCACACTAGAAATATTTAAAATCGTTATATCCCAAATATGCAGACAAAACTGACCAAAACATTTACTAATGTAAGCTAAACAACACACATAGATTAATAATATCACCTACCCATCGAATCCCTGGAGCTCACATTCCTGAAGCAGTGACACAGCATGCCCTTCATATTCTGTTACTATTAAAGATAAGCACACAAACAAGGCAAGTTTTAAATTATGCCATACACTTTTTAACTTTGATTGAAAAAATTGTATGGTTAACATATGGTCAGGTCATAAAACAATGCTTATTTTTGAATATTTATCTTTCAATCATAGAAAGAGGGTTAGATGTTAGTTTCCTGTTATGTTTTATAGCTTTATGTAAAAGAAGGTCAAATACTCAATGTTTGTTCCAACTGTGTAAGTCATTTGGGGATATCCCACATACAGCGGTTGGAGAATTTACCTGGGTGCTTATTTAGTGTTTCTTAAATAAGACACATTTCCTTTAAACCCGAAGCTGTGGAGCAGTATTTTGAAAATACAGCATATTAGCTGGCATTGAACAATATTAAATTTCTTTGGCATCCTTACATGAATAAATTAGTTGAAAGGTTAGTGTAAGATTTACATACCACAAGAATGTGTGTCTGGAATTGCTAGACTATTCAGAGGAAGAGCTGGAAGTGAAAATTGGAAGGCAAGCCAACACCAATGACAGGAGACCCAGACCTACAGAGGAGGGTGGCACACTGGCCCACCAGAGCCTGGATCCTCCAAGGAAATGAATCTGTCACTCTGTATTGCTGTCGCCACAGTCACTGGTGCCCTGCGCAGTATTGTGAATGCCAGTGAAGACAGGATAAACGGGCACACTGCAGATGGCACCAAGCATCACAACCACATTTAGCATTTTCTAGGGCAGCTCTGCCAGAAGAGACAGCACAGCTGTACCTACCCATCAAAGATTTCTGCTGACTGACATGACATTGCAGATGCATTTTTTGTGTATGAATGTGCATCATTATATGCAAGATTACATTAATCTTTCATGCCTGTCTGTCCCTGGTGCCAGCATGGTTCAAGCTTTTCCTACAATGTTTTTAGATATTGTTAAAAATTATTAGCCTTGGTGTCTAAAAGAGCCATTCTGTATCCAGCAATGTTGCATTGCAATTCTCCCATAGTTTATTCAAAATACCTTAACACCGATATGAATGTCTCTAATATCTAAGAAGAAAGCTGCAATGAAACCAGATGTACAATATTAATACTAGTAAATTTGGAAAGTTATCATAAAACATGTGCTAATTATTAACCACAGCAAATAATGGTAGCCTTAAATGCAATATAATATTATGCATACAGAAACACATTAAAATAATTAAGAACATTATAAAGAAATACGAACACTGAGAACTAGCAAGTCTTGCTTTTATATCAAACCTTATTTTGGTAAATTATTCCAAATCTTATAGAAAATGAAATTTAAAATTATGTTATGATTGAATGCTATTTTTATTTAGGAAACATGTCAGTCTTTTTCTTTGATCTTACAGATAGAATTTGGATATACACTAACACAAACTGTCCACAAATAGTATTTTTTTAAAGTGATATTGTAAAAGTTAAATAAAATCACTGATCAGAAACAAAGAAAAGATAAAGCAATTCTGACTATTCACACTTAAAATATATCAGTAGAAGGAAGAAAATTAAAGTCCTTGACCTCAAGAAGTTTGCATTCTGGAGATATGCACTAATTAAAATGAATACATAATTTAAAGCAATAATTATAAAGAAAAATAACAAGGAACAAGGATAAAGTGTGCTCAGGACTACTATTTAGATATAGAAGAAAGAATAAAAATATGATTTAGATAGACTATTATGGGCTCTGGAATCAGAGAAACTCAAATCAACTTGCTCCAAATCAACATAAAAAATTGCTCGTTAGGGCCCATGTAATTTCAGAAAGTGTTACTTAATCTCTTCTTTCACCTATTTGCCTTTTCCTATAGGATCGGCCAACCTTTGCCTTTATGCTACAGGACATTTGGAGCCCTCAAAATTTACAGATGTTTGATGATAATTCCTACTCTTCAGTATAAAGAGGACTTCCTCATGAAAACAAGACTAGAAGGGAGTGATGCCTCGACATTGAGGTGGAATGCTAATGAGAAAACAGGCTGAAATGAAATCAGATGGGATTAGACTTGGAAATAAGGAATCATTTCTCAGTCCAGTGATAAAATTGAATTATGGGATAGGATCCTGGGATGTTATTCTCCTTCCTGTCCTATAGGTGTTTCAAATCTAGAAAGCCTAAAATGGAATCCATGTCTATCTTCAAATATATTGCCTCTTAAATATAGTGCACTTTTTGTTTCACCAGCCACTTCCCCAAATAGGAAAAGTATTTCTTCCTAGATTATCTTTCTCTTCCATGTTCTGTAACCACCCTAGGGCCAAGGCCAATTAGTTCCATCTTTTAATCGGGCTGCAGCATCCCTTTGTTCTTCATGGCCAATGCCCTAGATCTGGTCACTACTACCTTTTATGCATATGCTTTTCTGTTCTCAACTTCTCACACAGTCCAGCCATAAGGACCTTTTTTCAAACATATTTAATCATATCACTTGTTTGCATAAATCCTTTTGGTGACTCTTCATTGTCCAAGAAGAAACATCCAATTCCCCAACTTGCCTCTGAGTTTTGGAAAGATAATTAGCCATGTACATGCACAATTATTTGAGAAAAGACTTTCTCACTTAGACATCTCTCTCCAGCAAGATATGATGCATGAATATTTGTGCAGGTTTTTATTAAAATGCAGGTAGTACTGCAAGGAGGAACGCCTCAGGCTGCGAGCATCTTCTGTGACTCAGCTTCATCAGATTGCCCAGCTCTCTGCTTGATAAGATCAACAAGGAAAAAAGGCATTTCCAAAGAATGGCAGGCTTCAAAGCAGAGCTGTAAGCAACAACAATACAAAGAGGCTTGGTAAAATCCTCAGAAGCTAGAGGCATGATCTTAGAAGGAGAAGGAAGAGCAGAATGACAACAACCCCCTTTCTTGACAATTGTGCTTAGGTAGCAAAATCATCTGGTGATCAGGGACTCCCGTAGCCCCTGAGCTGGCAGAGATCAAGACTGTATCCAGAAAAGCATATTTAACATGAGGATAAGACCAAAATAAGGTCTAGCAACTTTGTTAATACAAAAGATGACTAAAGGAGATGGATGTACCTATCACAAACAGGAAAGATCAAGGACACACAGGACATCTGTCTTCAGATAGTGCAATGATTTTTTTAAAGATTTATTTATTTATTCGAAAGGTAGAGTTGAGAGAGATCTATCTATCTATCTATCTATCTATCTATCTATCTATGTATCTGCTGGTTCACTTCTCAAATGGCCACAACAGCCAGTGCCAGAGCCAGGAGTGAGGATCTTCATCCAGGTCTCCCATGTGGGTTGGCTAGAGCCCAGGTTCTTCTGCCATTGTCTGCTGCTTTCCCAGGTGAATTAACAGAGAGCTGTACCAGAAATGGAGCGGCTGAGACTTGAATTTGTGCCTATTTGGAATGCCAGTATTGCAGGCAACACCTTAAACTACTGCTCCACAACAGTGCTCTTCAATGAGTCATATACACTAGATGGGAAACATTCATTTTTGTAACATTACAAAAGATAACATTAACCCTAGTAAAGCAAAATTACTAGAGGAAAAAGTTCCCTGTGTGGTACAGTTTATGCCTAGTACAAAGGAGGTTGGACAAAGGGGCATGTGGATTTGAAACATCACTAGTGTCCCTGATCAATGAGCTAGGAGATCCTGGGATGAATCTGTCTAGAAGAGGTGGCACCTGTTTGGTTAGTCAGCATAGGGTGGTACCTTTTCTAATTTGCTCAAAAAACCAGTGACCATGAAGTCAAGATAAGAATGTCCAGAAGTATTACCCACAGACATTATGTCCCACCTCTACTGTAAACAGTCAAGCCAAGGCGATCTGGCTGCCCACAAGGGGCATTGCACACCTGTGCTCCATCACACCATGGAAGTTAAACTACAGGACCCTATACATGCTCTTAAGTCTGATTTTCATGCTGCCTTAACTTTATTGTTTATGAATTAACTTATGAATCTCTGAACTCTCAAAATATTTATCACACATTTAATAGAACAGTCTTGAATTCTGCTTTAATTTGGGAACAAGAGAAAAAAATGATGTATCCAGAATGGGCTTAACATTCATTTTATTCTTTGATTTCTATACAAATAGGCTACCAGACAAATTTCTCAATTCTTGCTAGGTTCTTCCAGAAATTTTTCTGATGTTGTTAGTTAAAACACTGCAGTTGGTGGTGGAAGCAGAGGGGGCATGACACTTCAGCTCGAATATTTCAAAAGAACCTCATCTATAATCAGAAGTAGTTAGGATTTCAGCATAAGTCAAAATGAAAGGAGTAAATTTATTTGTATTAATGTGGTGAAATCCATTTAAAATAAGTCTATGGAAAAAGTTACTTTATAATGTACATATATAGCTGTAATTTTTCAAATCATGTATCACATCTTTACAGCACTATTGTCCAATGAATTATTCATCGTGTATAATTTATTGTGTGGAGTGGCATTTAGCTTAGCAGTTATGACACCCACGTCTCACATACTAAGACAAGGGTTCAATCCCCAGTTCCAGTTCTTGACTCCAGGTTCTTACCAATGCAGACGCTGGAAGCCAGTGATGATGATCCAAGTAATTGTATTCCTGGGAGATGTGGATGGTGCACCCATTTTCTGGCTCTGGCCATGGACTAGCCCAAGTCATGACAGGCATTTGGGGGAGTAAACCAACAAATGGGGAGAATTTTCACTCACTCACCCACCTTCCCTTCATCTCACTCTCTCCCTCCCTTTCTACTTTGCAAATAAAGAAAATAATCTAACACGTTTTAACAGGAATTTACATAATTCATATTCCATTTGGACTCACCAGTGCACACAGAGATATGTTAAAAACAATGGCCACAGTGGATGTGCAAAAGATAGGTTCTGTTTCTGCTTGATTCTTTCATGTAAAATATTTTAATTTCAAGATTTGAAAGTGTATTATTGCATAATTTTATGAAAATGAAGTAAGTAGCATCATGACCATGTTTCTATAGCAGTTTATAACCTACAAAGTCATTTCTTACACATTATTTTGAGCCACAAAATAACTGCAAGTTAGGCAGGAATATTAAAGCTTTTCAAGTATCCACATGTTTATTCAGTGTTTCACACAAATTAAGAAACTTTTTATATTTGTATTTATTCAACATACATATTAAAATCATTTTAAAAGCATAGGATGTAATTGTATAGCTTCACCTGTAGGAGGAGTGTTAGGCAGCTAATAATTAGTCCACAAAAATGAGTAATTCCAGTTTGCTCTAATTTTATGATCAACTAAATTTTAAAATTCAGTTACATTTACAAATGTAGTAAAAAACCAGAACATTTTTTCCTCTCCAATACAATTGTTTTAGGAAGGAAAGCACATCACTATCATTTCTCGTCTCAGTTCAGTACTCAGGTACCAGTTGCATTGTGCTGGTAGAGTCATCTTAACTAAACCAGATTTTCACATTATAAAAAAAAATTATACCAATTGTAGATCACTGTATGATGAGTAAACCATAAAATTTAGCACAAAGATCAATCTATAGTCTGGACTCAAATTTCCTATAGCATGCCTTGTTGAGAGCCTTCCCAGAAATCATTTTGTCCTTTTCCTCCCTAACAGAACCTACGTTTAGTTCGGGCATCTTTAGAAAAATAAGTCTACCCTCAGCCCCTGGGAAGGGTCAGGATGATTAAGGGAATGATTGTTCTTGATTAGGCACAGATGTTGTATTGGAACAGCCAAACTGAAAGAAATTTTAACCCATTTTCAGGACTAAATCATGTTAGGTCCTGCACATATACAAACCTTCCACATCTCACTAGATATGAGAAGAAAGGATCCAATTCACTGGCAGCTATTTTATGATGGAAAGAGTCAGAATTAGGAGTTAAAACTGAAGAAGATAGATCAAAATAATGAAACAAATTCTTAAAATATTACAGGCTTAACACTCTCCCTCTCCTTGTTCATATGTGCTACCCCATCTTTCTTCCTGAAGTTTTGCCTTTTCCTTTTAAAAACTGTAAGCTCAAATGCTATTCTTGAACTTTTGGTCAAAATTAATAGTACATGCTGAGATGCCACAGTGTGTATGTGTGTGTGTTAGTTGTAACATTTCAAATAACTATTTGAATACATAACATAAATGTCACTCATAAGCAGGTGATGGCTTATTCATCTTGCATTCTGTACAATGTTGAACATCAAGTAAATATTCTAAGAGATTCTGGAATTTAATGATATAGAATAACCATGTCAAACTTTCTTGTTGTAGTCATGTTAAATTAATGAACAGAATTATGTGTGAATAAGTTTATTCAACTTTTTTTTTATTTATTTATTTTTTATTTTTTTTTTTTATTTTTTGACAGGCAGAGTGGACAGTGAGAGAGAGAGACAGAGAGAAAGGTCTTCCTTTTGCCGTTGGTTCACCCTCCAATGGCCGCCGCGGCCGGTGCGCTGCGGCCGGCGCACCGCGCTGATCCGATGGCAGGAGCCAGGAGCCAGGTGCTTTTCCTGGTCTCCCATGGGGTGCAGGGCCCAAGCACCTGGGCCATCCTCCACTGCACTCCCTGGCCACAGCAGAGGGCTGGCCTGGAAGAGGGGCAACCGGGACAGAATACGGCGCCCCAACCGGGACTAGAACCCGGTGTGCCGGCGCCGCTAGGCGGAGGATTAGCCTAGTGAGCCGCAGCGCCGGCCTTCAACTTTTAATTAATAAATTTAAATTTCCTTCAGTCAATCTTAAAAAATTCTCAACAGGAAGGAATAGCATGTCTAACTTTTCTCATTTCCTTTTAAGTCACCTATAAGGAGGTAAAAAATCACCACATAAATGGTTGACTTCAATATTATTTTAATTCAGAAATTCCTCAGGTTTTTATGGTAGTTTCTCTGGGGTGTGGTAGATGCTTTTTAGTGTGGCTGACATTCCCACAATCCTCCATGTCACAAGGTGTAGGCATCAGTGACTCTTCTTACTTTGTGAAGCCGCCTCCTTGGTTCCAGCTGAGCAATGCCAGGTAGTTATGAATCCCTTACCCAACAATGTACAGCTGGGACCTGGGCACTCAACTGCCCTCTGGTCTTAGCTCCTGAGTAGGTGTCCTATGCAATGTTTTCCATCAATGAAAACTCACTGTTGGGGGGCCAGCGCTGTGGCACAGTAGGTTAATCCTCTGCCTGCAGCGCCAGCATCCCATATGGGTGCTGGTTCTAGTCCCACTGCTCCTCTTCCAATCCAGCTCTCTGCTATGGCCTGGGAAAGCAATAGAAGATGGCCCAAGTGCTTGGGCCCCTGCACCCGCATGGGAGACCAGGAAGGAGCTCCTGGCTCCTGGCTTCGGATCAGCATGGCTCTGGCCGTTGTGGCCATTTAGGGAGTGAACTGACAGAAGGAAGACCTTTCTCTCTGTCTCTCCCTCTGTCTGTAACTCTACCTCTCAAATAAGTAAAATCTTAAAAAAAAAAAAAAGGTCAGGGCTGGCAGTGTATCGCAGCAGGTTAAAGCCCCAGCCTGTAGTGCTGGCATCCCGTACAGTCGCCGGTTCAACTTCCAGCTGTGCCACTTGCAATCCAGCTCTCTGCTAAAGTGCCTGAGAAAGCAGTGGAAGATGGCCTAAATTCTTGCACCCCTGCACCCATGGGGAGGCCAGGTAGAAGCTCCTGGCTTTAGAGCGCCTCACCTCCAGCCATTGCAGCTATTTGGGGAGTGAGCCAGAAGTTGGAAGATCCACACACACCCCCACACAAACACACCTCTCTAACTCTGTCTTTCAAATAAATAAAACTTTTAAAAAATAAAATTCACTGTAATTCTATAGTATGTGTAAGTACAGCTGCATAGAAACAAAATTAGAAAAGTTGTGACTCTTGATAGGATCAACCCTACCTCTCAATTTCCCACCACAGGAAAAATCCAACAGTCTCAAACAGGCAAAGGAATTTGGTCACCTAACCAAAAAAGCTGGAAAGGCTATCACTGATCTATTATTTTTATCAAAAATCTATTTTCTTTGCACAAGCTTCAAAATATTACTTATTTCAGACAATGAATGCAAGCTTTTGATTTTTCTAAATCCTTCTAAAATCAGCCATGTGCTTAGTTTTGACCTAACCAGCAGGGGTCAGAGTCAGAACAAAAACAGTCTACTGAATGATTCCATAGAAGGGCATCAATTACATAAGTGTGTGTAGAAATCAACTTGCCAAGCTGCAGAATCATGTGAAAATAGCAAACATCAAACTGAAGATGCCACAAAGTGCAGAGCTTCAAAAATCCTACCTGAAAATGATTAGTCCTAAAAATTTCTAAAACAGCAATATTCTAATAAAAACTACATAATTACAAAAATCTAATGAAATTTCAACCTTGGAGCTGGATGACACTATAAATGTGCATAGCAAAGCTTTACGTAGTACCTGTCACTATGCATGCTGAGATTAAGAACAAATTCAGATTGTTCCACTTCTGTGTGTTTTTCTCAATGGTGAAAAATTATATTCTGAAAGTGACTTACTTGTTACATCAGTCTTTATTCCTGCAAGCTTCAACAGAGGCTCAACCTTCTCATGATAGACCTGAATAGCTTCTTTTTTGTGACTTTGGGGGTTGAGGAGTATTTTTAATGACTTAGGTCTGTTTGAAAAACCTAAAAAGGAAACAAAGACAAAGTTACTGTCTCTGTGACCATGTTTTCTTTCCCTTTAAAATGACTCATCATTATGTTCCTAAATCTATATATGAGATACACAAAACTGGTATAACTTAAAGAAAATTTTTAAAAAATGTCTCGTATGTCTGTGCAGATACTATACACATGTATTCAGTGTCTACTAGCTTCATTTGAAATTCTTATGAGTATTCCTGAATATGGAATTGATTTTAATTGTCCCAGCAGTGATATATGTATGTTCCTCTTAACATACATGAGTTATAACAAAGCATTTAATTTATGAAAGAAGATATAAATAAAAATAACTCTATGGACATTAGGAAGTGTTTATGTATATGTACCAAATCCTAGATAATACATCTAATGTTCCTTTAGCATTTGTTCCTCCAAAAAAAGCAATGGACAGTAAAATACATGGGTACATTTCTTCTCCTTGGAAAAATATACTCATTATTCAAATTGGGCATCCCTATGACCCCCGGGCTACTGATGCCTGACCTACTGATGAGTTCAGGGCACAAGAGTACGAGAGGATGAGTCAAAGCCAGCACCCAGAGCAATGCACAGTTGTAGCTAAAGAGAAGGTTAGGTCAGAGTTCAAAGCTGAGAAGAGGCCAGGGGAGAGCGTTCTTCTCCTGGGAACTGGGAAAGCAAGGTCTCAGCGGGGATTCGAGGATAGTGCTGCCTCACAGTTGGGGCTGAGATTTGATACTGCAATTTTCTGGGCTTGCAAGATGCTTATCACTCCGCACCCAGTTGGAGCAGGTGCAAAGCAAATTTTTAGTTGTTAGGAAGGGATGGAGAAACAAAGAAGCCAAAAGAAAGCTGACAACTGCTTCGCTTTTTGGTAAGCTGCTCTCAGGGAGCCACCTCTGAAGGTTCAAAAAGGCAGTTACTACTGTCCATTTTAAATACAACTGTTACTAAAGAGGAGTGAGAAATGTCCATTACACCAAGGTCAATGTTTTCACACCTCAAGTACAGACATTTCATTTCTCATCATACTTAACGTCAAGAAATCTTTCCATAGCATACAGGATTTTGAGTTCAGGGAGAGTTTGGGATTATCAGCAACAGGGACCATGCTGAATCCTTAGACACTGTCTGTAAAACTCCCCAGGACTTCTTTGGAAAGAAGCTGCTGCCAGCCTCCTAGTAATCCAGACTGGAGACCTCAAAAACAAGCTCAATGCCTTTCCCTCCCTCTCCCCTTTCTTAAACAGAGAGAGACCTACCATCCACCAGTTCACTCCCCAAATGACAGCAAGGTCCAGGGCTGTTCCAGGCTGAAGCCAGGAACCAGGATCTTTGTCTGAGTCTCCCTAGTAGGTTCAGGGACCCAGAGACACAGTCTATCTTCTTCTGTTTACCCAAGAGCATTAGCAGAGAGCTGGACTGGAGGTGGAGAAGCTGGGACTTGAACCAGTACCCATATGGAATGCTGGAACTGCAGACTGGCCCTGGCTTAACCCGCTGTGCCACAGTGCTGGAACCATCAATTTCCATTTTCTAACGCATGTCCAGATTTCCAGAGCCAGACTGCAGGGGGACCTATGCTCTCCTTTCCTCCTCCTACTGAATCCTCTGGCATCACAGTTCTGCTCAGCACCACACTGCTCAAAAGCAGTTGCAGCCTTTACTGCCTACAAAGTCACCCTGAATCTCTTAAAACAGCATTCAGAGCTCTCCCCCTCTAGCCCCTCTGGACTGCCTTCCATATCTCTCACACATATATTCAGGAAACCTTTTTATTTAAGGAGTACAAACGTCACGTGTTCCATATATGCACATTTAGGAACTCAGTGATTCTTCCCTCCCTGACCTCCCTATCCCCACACTCCCAACCTTCTTGCTCCCTCTGCTATTCCAATTCTTATTTTTCACAAAGATCTATTTTCAGTTAATTTTGTACTCATAAGATTAACCATACACTAGGTAAAGATTTCAAGAAATAGCATGAAAGTAATTAAATAAATAAAACATTTTGTTCTTCAACAGCCAAGTTAAGGACTGTTCAAAATCATCACATTTCAAAGTGTCAATTTCACTTCTGAAGATTACCTTTCAGGTACTCTATTAGTTCCCACAGATTAGGGAGAACATACGGTATTTGTCTTTTTGGGACTGGCTTATTTCACTACGTATAATGGTTTCTACTAATATCCATTTTGTTGCAAACGACAGGATTTTTTCTACCACTGTGTAGTATTCCATAGAGTATATATACCATAATTTATTTAGTTTTCAGCTGACGGACATCTAGGTTGATCCCATATCTTAGTTGCTATGAATTGAACTGCAGTAAACATGGATATCACTCTTACACATGTGAAGTTCTTTACGTTTGGGTAAATTCCCAGGAGTGGGTTGGCTGGGTCATACTTTAGGTCTATGTTGAGATTTCTGAGGTATCTCCATACTGTTTCACAGCAGCTGCACCAGTTTACATTCCCACCAACAGTGGATTTGGGGACCCTTTTCCCCACATCCTCTTAGGCACTTGTTGTTTGCTCATTTTTATATGTGAGCCATTTCAACTGGGGTGAGGTGAAAGCTCATTGTGGTTTTGATTTACATTTCCCTAATGGCTAGAGATCCTTAGCATTTTTTTTTCATGTGTCTGTTGGCCATTTGAATTTCCTCTTTTGAAAAATGTGTGTTCAAGCCCTTTGCCCATTTCTTTACTGAATGGGTTGTTTTATCATTGTTGAGTTTCTTTCTGGATATTAACCCTTTATCAGTCACATAGTTTGCAAACATTTTCTCTCATTCTGTCAGGTGCCTCTTCAATTTGCTGAGTGTTTCTATTGCAGTGCAAATTTTCAGCTTGATGTAATCCTATTTGTCAATTTTGGCTTTGATTGCCAGTGCTTCTGGGGTCTTTTCCAAGAACTTTTTGCCTATACCAGTGTCTTTGTTGGGCTTCCCCAATGTTCTCTAGAAATTTGATGGTATGTATTCCTGGAAGTTCTAGCCAGAGCCATTAGGTAACAAAAAGAAATCAGAGGCTGGCATTGTGGTATAGCTGGTAAAACTGCCACCTGCAGCATCCCATATGGGTGCAGGTTCAAGTCTCAGCTGCTCCACTTCTGATCCAGCTCCCTGCTGTGGCCTGGGAAAGCAGTAGAAGGTGGTCCAAGTCCTTGGACCCCTGCAGCCTCATGGGAGACTGAGAAGAAGCTCCTGGATTCTGGCTTCGGATTGGCAAAGCTCCAGCCATTGTGGCCATCTGGGGAGTGAACGAGTGGATGGAAGATCTATGTATTTCTCTCTGCCTCTCTGTAACTGCCTTTTAAATAAATAAATAAATCTAAAAAAACCAAAGGGATACAAATTGGGAAAAAGTCAAACTATCCCTAATTGTAGATGACTTGATTCTATATATAGGGGATCCAAAAGACTCCACTGAGAGATTATTGGAACTCACAGAAGAGTTTTATAAAGTGGCAGGATATAAAATCAACACAAAAATCAATAGCCTTTATATAGAGAGACAATGCCATGGTTGAGAAAGAACTTCTAACATCAATGCCATTCACAGTAGCTACAAGAAATAATCAAATACCTTGGAATAAATTTAACCAAGGATGTCAAAACACTAAAGAAAGAAGTAGAAGTAGACACACAAAAATGGGAAAAAATTTTCCATGTTCAAGGACTTGAAAGAATCAATAACATCAAAATGTCCATAATATGCAAAGCAATTTACAGATTCAATGTGATCCCAATCAAGATACCAAGGACATTCTTCCCAGATCTAACAAAAAATGATGCTAAAATTCATATGGAATCACAAGAGATGCCAAATAGCTACAGCAATTTTAAACAACAAAAACAAAGACAGTCGCATAAAATACCAGACCTCGAGACGTACTACAGGGCAGTTACAATCAAAAGAATTTGGTACTGCCTACAAAATAGATGTGTAGACCAATGGAATAGAATAGAAATTCCAGAAATCAATCCACACCTCTATAGCCAACTTATCTTTGACACAGGAGCTAAAATCAATCTCTGGATAAAGGACAGTCTCTTCAACAAATAGTGCTGGGAAAATTGAATCTCCACATGCAGAAGTATGAAGCAAGACCCCTATCTCACACCTTACACAAAAATCCACTCAAAAAAAGAAAACCGTTATTGGGTTTTTGTGCTGAGAACTGGGAAGAAGGGCAAAGTGTTTAAGATGTGGCACTTGCATTAAGGGATGAAAACATACCCAGAAACATAAATAGCACAAAGCATTACAAAATAGTATAGACTTGTGAACAGAGAGGCACACAATATGCTGGGTTTGTCGGGAAAGAAGGATGATTAATTTTTATTAGGAATATTGATTAGGCTTCAGGAGGAAGGGAGTGTTTAAGTGGAACTTTGGGCTCTTGAAGTTTTCACTACCTAGAATTTCCTCCTCCATGACCTCTATCTCCCCTCATCGAAATAGCTAGGGTGGGACATGGTAGGTAATGCTAGGTAGTGAGACTAGCTTGAGCAAAGGCATGACTGTATGTAAGTGCAGATAGTTCTTAATGTTGCATTTCAACTACCTCATGATCCACGCCTCCCTCTATTATTGTCCAACACCAAATCTGTCAAGTCTTATTTAATCCAGATGTTTTCTTCCTTTCTACTCCACCCCACTCCCATTTTTCCACTTTTTCAAAGTTCGCTCCAAATACCACTTGTTCACTGGTGTCTTTCCTAATCACCAGAATTTACCTCTCTAGCTTCGTGGCTTCCACTTTATTCTGTGTACCTCCACTATCTATTTTGTTTTATATCTTTTGTATCAAAAACTGTGATGACAAACCTGGGATTCCAGAACTTACACTGGTCAGCCCTGGGAAAATACAAAATGGAATAATGACATTAAAATACTATTTTGAATTTTTTAAACACCCATGAGTAACACTGACACTAAAGAAACAATAGCCAGAAAGGGAAAATTATGTTCTATAGAATAACAAGTAATAAGA